ATCCATCAAGAGCCTATTACACATTTTGTTCCTCATGAGATTTGTTTGCTTTGTCGGTGTTCTAGCAATTCCGGGGCAGCTACAAAATGAATCTCCGATACCTAAAGTGAGCCAACCATTGCAGTATTCGAGGGAAGTCAATCATTGTTTATTGCTTTTTGCAGGTACCTTGATGGTTGTTTTGGGCTCGTAACTTCCCAAGAGAATCCTTGGAACCAGCTTAACGCTTCCAGAAATTGCAGAGGCTTTGACAAAAGGCGTTGAATACTTATGGAGTTCGACAGAATGTTTTATTTTTATTTTTAAGAATCATTGAATAGACGACTGGTGTAACGTCTTCGCATCTTCTCGAGTCCAGCTCCGACCCTGGAAACGGGGCCGTCCAACCTCGGCGAGAAAGCGGGCGAAGGTCCCCCCCCAGTTTTCCCGTGCCCGAAGGTGTGGGGGGTGTTGAGAGTTCAACCCCGCAGAGAGGCGAGGTGTCCGAGGCGACACCTCGCTGCCGCGTCAGGACTCGTGGCACAGGTTCCATGGTATGTCGTGGTTTCTGTCGGACAAGATGGAGAAGCCCAAGCAAAAGGTGTGTTGTTTGCATCATGCTTCCATACTGAAAAAAGGTAATGTTTTTGCAACAGAATCTGAGCACTTTTGGGAAAGGACAGTGGGATTTGTGCCAAGAGTCCTGAGGGCTTACTAGTCAAGTAAATCGATTCATTGCCTTTGGTCATTTTGTGTTTTACCGCTTGTTGCAAGTATTGCTTTTGATGGGGCATGAGCCCGGTCTGCAGGCTTTGAGGGATTCATTCTTGAGCAACCCAGTCGATCATGTCTTTACTGCGGTGCAAGTTTGTGCAAACGAAAAAGAGCCGCAGCCGCAGCCCACACGGATGGCTTCGTTTCTCAAATGTGTGAGCACTCGATGAGGCGTTTCATTGTAATATGCGCATGAATACGGGAGCCTTGGCGTCAGACACAGGGATCTACCCCCAGCAAGCACTCCATCAGACTCCGACCAGATTGTTACACTCCCCGAAGTCATCATGGGACACCACCTACCAGCATCCTGCCAGGTCTCCAGCATAGAGGGTTCGGGTCTCCCCAACAGGTCGAACCATTGGTGACCTGTTACACTGTTGGCCGTCGGATGCTGGTATATACCCAGGGTTCCAACCATATCCTCAGAAGGTGGTTAGACCCCAAAAACCCACCCCAACCACCTTCTCAGGAGGTGGGCCAGGAGCCCTAGGGATGTGTGATTATATTTGCAACGTTCGATGTTAATTATGGTCATCGGGGGCCATGCCATCCACGTAACCATGATGATTTTCAGGGAGTGTATTAATGTGTATGATGTAGATGGTTGAAGCGCTCATGCCAGTGTGGAGATCATGAACCAAGCATGCAGTCTTTCAAGTCTTGAAACTTTGGCTGTTGAGCATATACTTGTGTTTGGAATCTTGCAGCACCTGAAATGGATTGAGTTATCACGGTACACATGCAATGAAAGGAACATACATTGAGTTTTCCGAGACAACCACGAAGCTGATGGAAAGATAAGTCGAACCAATCTCAGATGTGTTGAACCAATCTCAGATGTGTTGAACCAATCTCAGATGTGTTGAACTTGTCTATACTTGTTTGATCTTGTCTGCATTCTACAATCAATTCTTGAAAAAACAGCAAACACTCGGATTCCCTAAACACCAACTGTGATAGAGTACACACTGCGGCACACCTCAACACCCAGCGGACTCCCACTATCGGGTGTACTAGGGTTGGGTCAGGAGCCCCACTGCCTGGTTCCCCGGGGTGTGTGAGACTGACGGATTTTGCATATAGGACTCTGTATCCCCGCTCCTTGAGGCGGATTCTTCCACCTAATCGTAGGTGTTTCAATATTTGTGTTCATATGTCAGACAGAGAGTTTGGTGCATCATCAATAGGAATGGTTTGGACCCTTGCTTATAGTTGAGGTGTCGCAGGTCTAAGAAACCCGAAGGTTCATTCCAGATCCAATACATGAGGAACGAATCACTGCAGGTTCCAGGCCCATGGAGGAAGTGGGTGTCAGCGCAGCCCTTGCGCCGTTTGACAGGCTTTGAGTCCCAAGAAATGACTATTCCAGAGTCCAGAGCATGAAGACATCTTGGTTTTGATGGACGCCATGCAAGAACTGCCTTTTCCAAATCTTGCAAAGTTATAGGCTATAAAGAGATAGATTGACATGTCCCATACTCGACTACTCTAGAGAAATCACCACATAAAATCCCGCCACTGGGGAGTCAATCCATCCATGTCTCCCTGAAACCGCCTTCACCCGACCCGTTCTGCGACGAAACGCGAGCGATGAAACGGAGTGCCGACGAAGCGTTTGGAGGTCGGGCTGGGGGTTGGGTGGGTGGCTGGTCTGAGGTGGATGGAGGTCCATGTTGGGTTTAAAACAAAGGGGGCACGAGTCAATCATGTGTGCTCTTGGTCCCATTTAATGGTGATAAACCCTCTTCATGTTCTTTTTGGGGGGGTCAGTCTCAACGCATGATTCAGGACTTGTTTCAGGGTCTTTGTTCGGTTGTGTTCTTTGTCTTTCGCATGTCACCGATCGACTATCCTACTGACTCACGGTCCCATCAGCTTGGCGGCCTGTCCTGTGCGAGCAGCTGGCATTGCTCAGCTTGTCCCGCACAGAAGTAATCGTGAAGTTGTGAATCAGAAACAAACCAAGTGACAGGACGCAGGAAAACCATGAGCAGAAGTGCCATGGGTCCCATTGTAGCTTGGGTTTGTGTTACATCAAAGATGGCTTCACACATCCTCAGAACATTACCAAGAAACAGTGTTATTGCCTTATTCTCGCCCCATCGCCCAAACACGTGATTGTCCCAATCTCATAGCAACTAACCCCCGAAGCATGAAGCTTTCTTTCGTAAGCATCCCTTGAGGCGCCTTTCAACCGACAGGCGCTGGGCGAGAAGCGGGAAAAGTTCAAGCGAGCCGATGCGTGCTTTGTCCACACGGTGCACACTTGTTACTGTAAATGGCACAAGAATAGCTTGTGAGCAATCAATTTAGTAAGTAGCCAAAACTCTTGACTCTCCTGTCTACATTGACATCCGAAGTCTCAACGAAGTCTTTTTGTCCAACTTTTCTCTATCAAATCCAAGCTGTTTTTGCGTGCCTCCTCACATCGTAGGTGTTTTATGATAAAGCATATTGACTATCACCCCCTCTTGTCATCCCATATATATACCAAGAAATTGTCTTCTTCGTCGTCACAACGACTCGCTCCCTTGTTCACTGGAAGGTTCGGCAGGTCACCGCAGAGTTTGGACAAGAAGCTGACATCAATGGTGTCCATGTTCGCAGTTGGATGCACAGTTGGATGCCCACGAGTGCAAAGCTCATTGTTTTTATCTCTTTTAGCAAGAAAGAGCCTTATAACTTATAACTTCTAATTTCTTATAACATTCCCAGGCACTCCATGTGTGATATTACCTACATTGCGGATCATTGGGGTATTCCATACATGTTTGGGATGAGCAAAATCAACATCCTGCAGGCAGTGTGACATTGAACATCATTGAACCGCCTATGATTTCCTTTGTCCGAGGAAAACAAACAAAAACACTGGGTATACTCTGTGGGTACTGAAAAAAAAAAAGGGTGATTGTCAGCATCACCATGTTTTCACAGTGAAACCCCGCTTGGCGTCCGGCCACCGGTTTCGGACGCCACCGCGACGGGACCGGACGCCGTGACGCGACCGGGACTCGTCCTGTCCGACCTGGCCGACCTCCACCTGTCGAATGGAGCCCGTTTCCAGAGGATGTTATAGAACCTTGGACCCGATTTTGGCCGGGGCACGGTCCAAGACTCCTTTCCAACAGGTTCTCATCATGTTCTATCTGGATCTATCCGGTTCTAGGTACAGGCTCCAATCTTGTAGCCTCAGAAGCGCTGCAGAACGCGCTTCTCGCCGCTGCGAACGGCCTTCAGGCGCCGCCTTGATGGACCCGAAGGCCTACTTCGCTCAATGGCAGCAGGCCTCACAAGCCCAAGCTGCTGCAGAAGAAGCTAAGAGTCTTGGCAGATGTTGGCCTAAACGCATGGGTCCAAAACGGGACCAATCCCTCTATATGACTGTGGGTGAACACCCCGAAAAACCCTGGTTGACCACCTGACCACCGAAAGTGTTTGGGATGTCAAGCCTGGGCTCCAGGTGACCCACAGCCATATCCAGACCACGTCTTGACCGGTTTGACAGGCACCAACCTCAACCCGGTCTTGGGATCGTTTGGTCAACGCCTTCCGGAATTGGATGGGTGTTTGCCACATATCATTTAGTGTATGATGAGGGGTTCAAACATGGTTCATCGAATTCTTATTTGAAGATGCCAGCGTACACAGAGCAGCTAAGAGAGAAAAAACGCTAGAAACCGCCTTGGCTTTTTGATGGCTTTCAGTGGAACCACGTCTTTGATATTGGTCAATGCTCGAAGGCGACCCTCACTTCGCAACCAGGACTTTGGACCGAACGTGAATTCGCTTCGAGACCAACGACCCGCCCAAGGGCCAATGAATTCGTGGAGAAGAGTGAGCTCCAGCAGCAGGCGGCCATGAACTCCTGGGGGTTCTTTCAGCGTTTGGGGCACCTACTTGCACAACTTACTGTATTTTGTTTTTTTGGTTCCTTAGTTGTGAGGTTTCTAGAAGTTGAAGGAGTTTGTTCTATCATGTTCTATTTATTGTTCAATTATTTAGCTGAGTCACATGTTCAATCACAGAAGTTCTCTTTTGCTGTACTTTGATTGGTTGTTGTATGCTTGTATTTCCAGAAATCTTGGATCATCTACGTCAAGATTGGTTTGATGGATTTTTGTTGGAACACTGCCCTTCCGGCCTGTAGCTTTTTGGATTCCATCCCATGATCTTCAATCGTCACTACACGCGCATAGCGGCCATGGTGCTACACCAGTGAGCGCACGTGGCGGACGACCTTGATTATGGAAGAGCTCATGGTCGAGGCGGGCACAGCTTTTTGTCCATGCAACAATCCCAACAAATGAAACACCAAGGGACTGGGTGTCAATGTAACTAAGTTTTCCAGTCCCATCGAATACTTGGATACCCTGTAACTCCAAACACTGTCCCTCCAAGCGTAAAGATAGCGCTGTTGGCCCTAACTGTTTACTCTCCAGCATATTGTTGGTCTTCATTTTACCTTCTAATTAACTGCCCACTGCTCCCCCCCCCCAAAAAACCTCCGGAACCTTTGGGGGTCCCGTTTCCTCGCGGCTCAGGCGGGCCCGGCGGGCACGTCCAAGGGCACGCTGCAACTGGTGCTGTGCGTGGTGAGCTCCGCAGTGGCAGGGATTGGCATCGGCCTCTTTGGATGTCTCCTCTCAGCCTCAGATCACCTCAGGCCACGATGACGACGATGGGACGACCGGGCCGTCCGACCGTCGGGTCCCGGTTGAGAGACGGTCGTGGTCCGGGGGGGGCGAGTAGATGCGAGGACATGAGTGGGAGCGGGTGGGAGGGTGTCAAGGGGAGGGGGGGCGTGTGAGGTGTTCTTTGGGGGGGCAGAATGGATGATGGATGAGGGGTTATCAAGGAGATCCAAGAAACAGGGTTCGACACCTTACATGGACACATCTCCAGGGAGAATGGATGGGTTGTTGGGAGAATTCCAATGTTCATCGATCATCGGTTTCATCGATCCTGCGCGAATCTCGCCAGGGCTTTGACTGCCTGTGGCAGTAGAATTGAGCTACGAGCCAAACATGTTCAAACTGATGGTGATCAGTGGGGATTACAACATATTACAACCATCTATCATCTATAGTATGCGTACCTAGCACTTCCAATGGGTGTCCAATGGATGCCTGTAAGTAAGGTAGGGTAGTCTACCGGATGACCCAGGTACATGTAGTCTTTTGTCCAGTTTGTTTGGCGCTAGCTCGGATGGGAATTCTTCTGTGATCTAAATCCGATCCAAGTGGATCTTCCATGACCCGGATCCAACCAAACGGCCGCGATTGACCAAAACGTCCCCAACAGAACTGACGGGTGCGACTGACGAGTTCGTAGGGAATGACATGAATGGATCCAGGACGGATCTATTCTTGGGGGCTCCTGGCCTACCTCCGTTTCGGTTCGGTGGTTAGGGTGGGTGTGTTTGGGGGGGTCGAATACCACCGAACCTGAGGATATGGGCCAGGAGCCCTAATTAGGTCCAACTACCTCCTGAGAAGGTGGTTAGGGTGGGTTTGGGGGGGTCTAACCACCTTCTGAGGATATGGTTGGAGCCCTAGGGATTATTGGGGGGCTCATTTCCGAAATTCCCTACGAAGCACGGTCAGAACATGCTATAACCTCGCACAGGGATCCCTGTCCAATGTTGGACCCGCCGGTCATGCTAAGCCTGCCCTTAACCATTGGCTGTGCCATTTTAACAAAGTTGAAGCTTTAGGTGGAAGCGGATGGCTGTGTTGGGCTGCATCCAATGTGTTTGAGTTAATTTGCAGAGAATTAGCAAGACTTTCAAGGACTTTACCTTCACATGATGGCAGGGCGCAGCAAGTTTTTCCTCATACACACATACCTTTTGCTGCCTGTTTGAACTCTTGAACGATTTGTTACTGGGCACTTGCTTCTACAAAGAATGGCGTTCTCCCACAAGAGGTCTTTCTCTACATCGCGTCAGCGTTTTCTATTTTTTCTGTGCAATGAATCCGGGTCCAGTCTGACCCAAGTAAAACCTCGTCCTGGAGACCTCATGGTGCAAATAAGTATATATGCATCATCAACTCCACTTACATAAATATACTCCATTTAATAAATATATTACATGTAAAATGTACTTGATTGTTTTTTTTGACACTTGGCATGGCTCGCAGTGGAAAAACACCCGACCTGAGAAGCCACTGGGAAGTTCCTTCCCTTCCCAGGCGCCGCAACGCGGGTGTCCACACGGGCAAAAGCCGATGCTTCCAGGCTTCCGATGCTTCGGGTGGCGCCAGACGGTGGTGTTTAAACTCAGAAACTCTTTGAAGATCCGTTTCTTTCGTTTGATGTAAAACATCATGGGACGGTCATGATTGATCCTCTATGAAATGAGTATATATATATATAGCCGTTTTTTTTCCAAGGACAAGCTGCCAGGACTTACCACCAGACAAGGGTGATCTTTGAACCAGGAAAATTTTCAGTTGGGTGGTTGATGCGTGTTTTGGTTTGTTTAATTTCATCGAGTGAGTGGATGAGCGTGGGTATGTAACTGCTTATAGTCATAATAGTTACTGCTACCAAGAGCACTTTTCAATCACCATTGATTCAGATCCAAGGGAGTTGTTCTTCTCCAGATTGTTCCATCAAAGAGCATCAAAGAGCACATTTTGTTTGGCGTTTGATGCATTTGTGCCCAGACGAACTCAATAGGTAGGTCGGACTGTGAATTAATTCCACCTGACAGGCTCCTACACCCCGATTTGCAGCGCAACATGGAGAGATTTCAGAACACCAAACATTCTCCAACCACAGGCTCTTGCCCCCCATCGAGCACCGCGTACCTCTATAATTAAGATATATCTATTTATATTATATCTATCTATCTATCTATCTACCTATCTATCTATCTATCTATCTATCTATCTTCGCAACGACCACAGATCCGTCGCGACAGTTCGCAACAAGGAAACGAACACCACATGGTCGCTTCTCGTGAGTCGGTCGTCGCAAAAGACTTTTTTCTCTGCTCGCGCGGCGGAGAGGTCTTGGGAATCATTGGTTCCATCGTCTTTGGCTTGGCCTCCTTGGTGGGACTGATCTTTGGCTCGGTGAGTCTGGCTACGGTGGTGCGCGCCGGATCCACGCTGCCCTCCAACGTGACCCGGTGTATTAACGACGTCCCACGTCCGGTCGAGATGCAGCCACGGAGGAGAGCGGAGCAGAGCGGGGGAGAGAGCGGATTCGGTGGAGACGGAGTGAGAATTGATCAATGAAGACTGACGTCGATTGAGGTCGAAAAGAACGATGACTGATCATGTTACCCCGGGTATCCTCTGGTTTGGTAGCAACTCTTGGTCCGGCCTGGTGTAGCAGCGTCATGATTGGAAAAAGAAGATCGGTTCGCAGAACCTGATCATTTGATCATCCTTTTTCAGTTTCCTTGACTGATCGCTGCTTGGTGGGATCTTCATACCTTGAGACGAAAAGACTGGGCTCCGGAGTCCTTTTTCTTGGTCTTTGTGGGTCGTTCCAGCGATCCGCCCAGGCCGTCTTTAGTCAAATGCTGGGTTTGCGCCCGCTGGTGAGAGACGATGTCCTTGGACGCTTAGCAGGGCCTGGCAGGGAGGGACGAGACGATCGTTGGAGGAGAGAGCTGAGCTACTCCAACGACCATGACGAATCGTTGGCACCGTGTGAACAACAAAATATGCAATCGTTTATGTTCACCAGTGCTTTGGCTAGGTGCTGTTTAATGTTGTTTGAACCAGAAGAGTCCACTTACATTGTTGCCAGTCGACTCACCCATCACCAAGACAGAACGTCAAATTCTCAGTGGGTGGAATTTGAGTGGTTTCATGCGCATCCCATTTGGGATTTTTTTGGGGTATTCCACGGTTGGCACGTGAAGGTGGAACGCTGAGTATATCCACCAAGTCTCAACCATGGTTCAGTGCTAATTAATCACACCCTAGCACTCTAACTATCCTTTGAGAAGGTGGGACTGGTGCCAGGTGGTTGCATAGCTGACGAGCACGAGGGACTGGAGCACTATAGGGATATGGGAATCTCTCCCCAACTCCATGTGCAAAGCACTTATTTCCTTTTGGGCACGAGCATTTCGATAACACTTGTGATAATGCGTCATCCTCCACATTCATTACTCTAGTAGGATTTACCAAACACCGATCAAGCTGAGGCCTTTTCTGCACCTTTTCTGAAGCTTTTTACTTTCACTTCAAATCGCTCGTAGCACTTAATGACGCCAACTGGTCACCGGTCACAACTTTATTTCCTAAAAGGGCGGAGTTTCTCAGCATTTTCTGCACTTCCTAGGAACTTTGGTGACCATCAGTGGCATCGTGAGCTTTACGATTTTCCAGGGATGGGCTTTCTACCAGCACAGCCGCAGCGAGTACCTCATGCACATGGCCAGGAGAGCACGCGTTTTTGGTACCGATGTGCTGGTTTGTTTTGCACGGGGCGCCCTGCAAAGCGAGGGTTAAAGGGTGAAATGATCGAATGGACTAATGTAGCCAGAGATTGCAGGGTAAAGGTGCTACGTCACAAAGACATTGGTCGAAGGCAGGAAATGAGCTCCCAATGCAGTTGTTCGCATCTGAGAAGCTGAGTGGCTCCAGGTAGTTTGTTTATTCTTCCCATTAGCAAATATACTAAGATATAAGATATTATAAGATGTTCATAACGTGTTCAACAACAGATTTGTATGCCTTTGTCCTTTTGTTGGTGCCTTTTGGTGATGGGAAACTACATTGAACACCAAAAGCTCTCAACAGCTTATACATATGGTGGAACAAACACGTGCGGTCGTCCCGGTTGCCTTTTTTACTTCGGCACCCCATCTCTGGGCCATGTCCTGCCCATGTCTAGGCCCGCATCTTTGGTCTGGCAAGGCTTTTTGCTGATTGCTCAAGTGAGCTCTGTTTGCTGGCTTTGCCGCTAGGCAGAGATGTCGGTGAGATGAGCTAGACATGAGACTACTTTATAATAGCGTCTAAGAGCTCTCTACATGCTGCTGATGAACAGATTCGATCCTGCACCACTTCAATCAGATCATATCGCCGTATATCGCCGTCATTTTGGGTGTCAAGTGATGTAGGTTGGGGGGGCCCCAGGAAAACTGTAACAGTCGGTACAAGGTCTATCACTAATTTTAGAGAGAGGCCTGCAACCCAAAACCATCATCATCCACGGTTAATTACAGGTAATTATATACCTTGCGCCTTGCGTTTGTCCTATTACCACAATTGGCACTATTTTTAACAAGGCCTTTACTAATCATCATCATCATCATCACCACCACCACCAGCATCATCATCATCATCATCATCATCATCATCATCATCATCATCATCA